CTGACAAGCTGCCACTCCCTTTTCATCCAATCCATCAATCTAGATCTTGTTGTCCCTTTTCTTTGCTCTCCAGCCAGTGAGTGTGCTGCCGCCATCAATCTCAAGCACATTGCCGGTCATATGGGCCGAGGCTTTGCTGCTGAGGAATAGAACCAGGCCTGCAAAGTCAGATGGCTTGCCAACTCGTCCGGTGGGTTGTCTTTCGAGCAGTGTGTCCAGGTACTTTTCCATGCCAAAGTTTGTCATTCGGGAGGGGAAGACGCCCCTACGATGGTTTAGCAAACAAGCGTGTTTGATATCAACTTGCGGGAACTTATAACTTACGGGCAGATACAGTTGACCATGATGTTCAATGGGGCCAATTTGGATGCTTGCAGCTTGCTGAGATGGATGCACGCGGCTTTTGATGGCCCATCTGAATCGAAAATGTTAGCATCGCTTTACCAATGTGCACTCGTAGGGACCACCATACAGCTAAAGGTGCCGTGGCCCGGGGCAGACAGCCCCCCGTCTCCCGTTGTTGTGACGTCGGTCGTCTGGATCCCGGCCATGGAGGCGACGTTGAGGACACGCGAGGGCATGTCGGCATTGGTTCCCTTGAGCAGCAGATCGTGCAGTCCGACGGTTGTGTAAAAGATGGACTTGACGTTCAGGGACATTAACTTATCCCATCCACTCTCGGGGAAGTCGTCATACGGAGCTCCCCACGAAGCACCCGTGTTGTTGACCAACACTGTCAGGCGGTCCGTTCGCTTCTTTACTTCTTTGACAAGCCCATCGCAGCCAGCCTTGTCCTTCAAGTCGGCCACGATATACTCGCACTTGCCAGGGCCCAAGGCGTTCAGTCGATCCGAGGTCTTCTTCAACTCGGACTCTTTCCGGCTGGCGATGAAGACCCGTGCACCGTTCTGGACGAATCCTTGAGCTGCCATCTCACCCAGTCCGGTTGCTCCTCCAGTGACCAATACCACATGGTTGCTGACATCGAAAAGCGAGGAAATTCGGAGGTCTGCTGAAGAAGTCATGGCTGCTTCTGGTCTTTCTATCGTTTCTCACAGGTCTTAGATTCTCCTGGGCGTAGGGTTTGTTCAAAGAGGGCAGAAGTCAGATCCTAAATAAGAGGCAGATATGGAGTGGTGAGTGGTTGATTATCGCCGCGGCAAAATGCCATGTTGGGGGTCGATCGGACACCTCGGTTGTTCCATTGCTTCCCCAGTTTCTTGGCGTTAGAGCCCAGACTGCGCCTGCATCTAAATGGCCCGCCGTACCAAATGCCACCATGCCAAGAGCCGTTGTTCCAAGACTCGTGGAAAAAAGACCCAAGACCTTTTCCCTCATTATTCCGTCCTTCGTCAGCCGACGGCAGCCCCTGGGTTTCCGGTTCTTTACGAAGATACTTGTACAAGAACCACATCTTCTCCTGAGGTCTAGACTCTTACTCAAGTCTTCAAGTATTTCTTTCTCCACCACTCAGCAGTCACCACGAGTCACGCGATGCAGGTCGCTGGAAATTTCATGCCACTACACCACTGGTGTCATGACTCATGGTGCCCAACCGGCCTTCTCATCCGGTTGGTACACGCCACTCCATTTATGACTCTCACACCACAAGGGCAGTTGTGCCTGTTTGGACAGGGACGACACGCAGGCATACCCAACAAGTCGTCATGTTACCCTCATTCTGACTACCTGTGTTGGGTTCTCCTTGGAGTCAGATCTAGGTATCTCTCATGTGACTCACGCTAACTTAGTTGTACCAATTATGTTGCCATCCACAAGGCGCATGGATCGGGCATATATACCTCGCTCTCGTGCTTCATACCACCTTCCCATATTTTGATTGTTTTACCGTTAAATCCTGTCCCGCTGGCACTCACTTGATCTCCCGACAGCTATTCTATCGCTCATCCAATCTTCATTTCCAGCAAAGTTTCCAATGGCACACAAACACAATCGCAGGCGGGTTCGCCCTCGCAATCGCAACCATACCTCTCTAAACCCCATCTTTGAGATGCCAGACGAGTTCCCGACACGATCAGATTCTCCCTCCCTCTATACCCCTTCTATAGGCACAGACCTCGATCAATCCTTCGTACTCCGAGAACCACGCTTTGCAAATCCTAGCGTTGCCTCAAGACATTGGTACAATCGATATGTTGCTTGGCAAAGCCGTGACAAAGTCCAAAGACGTGAAGCTGCCAAGATTGAGGCTGAGCAGATCAAAGTATTTGGAGGTTATCCAGGTGACGATGTCGGACTCTGCTACAAAATGATGGAAGTTTTCGAAGGCATGAATTGGATCGACACGCTCGACTAGAAGGCGCCCAAAGCAGAAGATTTAAAAGAAGGGGATTGGCATCTCACGGAGCTCTAAAGGCAGCATACCTGCCGAGAGACGGCATTACAACACGACTCACAGGAACGGAAACAGCTCAAGTTCGGCTTGTAGCAATGAAGGTTTTCCCAACCCCAAAAAAGAAGGGAATGGAATGGCTGGATTGGTCCATTTATGCTTGAACCCGTCACTGCTGAAAAATGTGTTACCGTGGAGAAGTGGTGACTGGTGCTCGCGCATTTGTTGAGGGCAGGGAGATGCGTGTCTATACCCCGCGCTTGAGCTCGTTGCCGCAGGATCGCTGCGTCGTTGACAGGAAGGAAATGGATGGTATTTCCACTCGTACTACTCTTGATGTACTCTTGACGTCTCGACTCATCATATCAATAGAGTTCGCCTCTCTTCCGCTTCTTGCACTTCTGGGGTGTGGTGGCTGACCGCTGACGCCACACACGCCACACCAGGTGGCCTTGAGACTAAAGCTTGACTATAGCTTGGAGTTGCTTGTCTATCACTGTGTATCAGTCCAGACCATGAGGACGAGGAATACCCCTCTCTTCTCACTCTTTTTGCGCCCACCCACCGTTACCATTACTGATGGGTATCTCGATCCACAGGAGACATCACAGTTGATCCCTGGCGTCATGGCGATTTCAAGCCACACTTAACGTCAGCCAAGCCACTTAGCATCGATTAGCGCGACACAAGATTTCCCAGTTTGCGCTTGTCTGGTTTGCCCACTTGCGATCTGCATGGCAGACTTCCACTCCGTGTGCTCACCGTCATCCGTTTTCGTGCAAGCGACGGCATCTCGCGTGCCTCACTGTCCAAAAACAAGGCAAAGGCATCTCACTTGGGTATGGAAATGACATCCACTAACATGCCCACACAATTTTCACTGCGTCATTCGAGTAGGAGGCGAGTTGAAATACTTCATTTTCACCTCACTTCTCCTCAATACTTCCTCCTCCTCACTCAGATCGAGCAGGTTCGGTATTGAACGTCTGCAGTTGCTCGTCGTCAGGAGCGGTATCGTTTCCCCTCTCTATCTTTCCCCTCAACTCTGTTCTTCAGCCTTACCCTTCTGCTCTGTGGTCCTCTTAGTCAATCATCACCCCTTCCCCTCATACGTGATACCTTCAACGCTCAAGATGGGCTTCTTTTCCCGACGAACCAACAATCCAGCTTCAAATGGCCATACCAAGAATGGCCACGCTCTTCGTCATGAAAAACGAAACCACCGGCCCGTCTTTGACATTGACTCTGGCGACTTCAACCGCAGACCAAGCTTCGGGCAATGGTAAATCCTCTCTCCTCCGTACTATGTCGCGGAAGATCTGACAGAGGCAGGCTGAAATTCACATGGGTGGATATCTTGACCATGGCTGCCATGGGTGCCGTTGGTCTCGGAGTCTATGAAGCCAAACCTGCTCCTAGCCGCTCATTCCCAGTGACCTTTGCCGATGGAGAAATTGTCTATCCCGAGTTCGCCTATCCTCTGCGTCATGAAATCGTCCCAATCTGGCTCGCGGCCCTTCTTGCCTCCTTGATCCCAATCTTCATCATCCTGTGCATGCAGATTCGCATTCGCTCTTTCTGGGATGTTAACAATGCCGTTATTGGTCTTTTGTACTCCCTGATCGGAGCGGCGGTATTTCAAGTGTTTATCAAATGGCTGATTGGCGGATTGCGACCTCATTTCTTGGCCGTCTGTGACCCAGACCCGGCGCTGATGGCGGCGCACCCTGGCCGAGGTTTCGAGAATATCATGTTCCAGAGAAACATCTGCAGGGGAGATGTCGACCAGATTGACGACTCACTCGAATCCATGCCATCTGGCCACACTACCGCCGCGTTTGGCGGCTTCGTCTATCTCTACTTTTACCTCAACGCCAAACTCAAGGTCTTCAGCAACCACCACCCGGCATTCTGGAAACTCATTGTGACTTATGCACCCCTGCTCGGAGCCTGCCTGATTGGTGGTGCACTGACTATTGACGAATTTCACAACTGGTATGATGTCTTGGCCGGCGCGGTCATTGGCTCCATCTTTGCCATCTCGAGCTATCGCATGGTCTATGCCTCGGTCTGGGACTTCCGATTCAACCACATCCCCTTGACTCGTCATACGCCCTTCTCCTACGGTGCAGGTGCTGCTGGTGCAGGAGGATTTGAAACTGCAGTCTTCACTAGACAAGCTGGATGGGGATACGGAGAGCACTATGGAGGTGCACCCTTTGATGCTGCCCATGGTCTCAGAGGACAGGCGGCAGGGTTTGACACGAGTGCAGTGCAGCAGGATCGATACCTTCACAAGAATGAAAGAGATGTGGAGCGTGACGCTGGGCTTTATCCCACAAATGGAACCACGAACGGCTACGGCACTGGCACTTCATCTGTCAGGGACCCTCCGCCGGCAGTGCCCCATGGGGCACACCACAGTGGCCGGACGAGCTTGGATCGCAGACCTGTGCCTACTTCAGCATGATATACGAACAAAGCGACGACATAAATACGATCTTGGTGGTTAGGACGGAGGAAGTGGTGCATTGGAGTATTCGTGGGGGATTCAACAGTCAACCAGGCAAAGCAATAGTCAACCTGGACAGGTAGCACTCAGCCAGGCATGTAATAATATGAAAAGCAATAACGCGCAAGTTGTTAGTTAATTCATCCCATCCAATTCACGCCAGACCTTGAACGCTTCAAGCAAAGTCGCCTTTTGCTGCCGTGTTGTAAACGCCAGCTCTATATTTCCCGCTATCGTCCTGCCCTCGCGACACTCTTCCTCTGTGGCCCACACGTAGTCGACATGCTCGTTCGGATCTAGCTTTACCTGTGGTATTCTAGGAGCAATCCCACCCCCTTTTCCATCTCCGTCCTTTCCCCGGTCCTTTCGCCGCCCGTCGTCGTCTTCGACGTCGTTGACACGGTCGCCGACAACGTCGACCAAAAACTCAAATTTACACACCCTCTTCCCGCCGCGCGTGACAAAGACGTGGCCCGGCGCGACGAGGGGCCCGATGCGTCTCGCCACCAGCCCGGCCTCTTCCCATAACTCGCGCGCGACAGCATGCAGAATGCTCGCATCCTCCGGGTCGCATGCCCCGCCGGGAGCTTCCCAGCGCAGGGGGGCCGAGTCGTGCGCGGCGCGCTGGACGAGGAGGACGCGGAGGGACTGGGTTCCGTTGCTGTGGTGGTCGGCGGCGGCGGTGTGAGTGTCGACTATTGTGTCGACTGTGCCGACGGTGTCGGTCGGGGTGGGGAAGTGACAAAAGACAAGAGCCCCCACGGCGACGTATTCGTAATCTGGGATCCCTGAGCGTGTGGCCTGGTTGGCGATATATTTCTCGTACGGGACCGTGAAGGACGATACCAACGGGTCTGTGGTGAATGTGAATTCTGGGGCTGGCTTTGGGACTTGGGCGGCCATGGTTGTCTCAACTGGTCAGACCGGTCGCTTGGATCAGCCTTTGCGTCCACGAGGGTACGGCGAGGGTATAGCGAGGCTGTTTCGACCCTGTTGGATTGACTCCCTACAGAGGTACTTGGTACTCTGCAACTCACTCGAACTGCCTGGGGAGGTGCAGCAGGGACCGATCAAGATCTGGTATGAGGCGGGTGGCCCACTTGAATATCCTGTTCTCTACTTGTACCGAGTACAATGGTTCACACTGCTTCAGGTTGTCGGTCCGGGAACCCTTATCTTCCTTTTCTGTGCAAGACGCTCGGGTACTGCGAGAGTCTCAGTTGTCAGGGGGGTTCTGTACTTGTATCTGGTCTCGGAGCGGAAAAACCTTGATCCTCGCCACTACGCCTTGTTGAAAACACAGGCCACAGCAATAGCAAATTTACCCACACTTACTGCGTTGCCTACGTGCCTATCCAGTCCGACATTCTCATCATGCACTTCCTAACCCTCTTGCACACATCGACACCATTCGTGAGCCTCACAACGGGAGCCTGATCGGTTGAGCCCCTACCAACACGCCTCACCCAAGCGGATTTGCCATGCTGCTGCTGCCTAGCCGAGTGGACGAGTCGCTGCCTGCGCCAAATCACTGGCTAACCGGAGTCCCCGCGAGTGTCAAACAGCCTGACGAAGCGAGGGGCAGCAACTTCCCTTGGCAGCGTGTCACACTTTTTCAATCCGGAAATGAGATTGTCGGCGTGATGTAACGGCGGTATCACTTGACATAAGGACTCTAGAATTGTATATTCCTACTGGTACATATCCTCCACCATTACCTGGCCGCTCGCTCTTGTCGCTTTACCTATTTGCAGTTGCTCGCACGACACGCACGCATTAATTGAATCCTTCATGACGGGAAACATCAATTGAAGCTAAAATGGGATCATGTCACTCGAAAAGATGCTCCATGAGATCAACCTCGACCTTGAGCGCTAAGCATGGCCTTCTGTATTCTCCCAGAACCTCGAAAGTCATCCTTGGGACTTTCACTTCTTTTCCGGCTCATCGATTGGCACGACGGCTCTTGCTTCCATTTCGTTCCAAAATTTCTTCTTCCAGGATGCCACCTCGGCGGCATATGCTATCCACACCCCATGCTCTCATTGAACGAAGGATAGGCGTTGTCGCTTCCAACATACAGTAATGACGATCTTGCAGTGGTTGTGATACCACGTGCCATTTCCAATTGCTCGTTTGACAATGAAGCGCTCGTCAATAACCTTGTCAACCAAGTTCTCTGGCACTGGATCGACGTGGGTGAAGACATTGGCTGCTGCCGCTGCATTCGTAAAGAAGCTCGGGACGAGCCTGGTGAAACTATTCAGGTGGGCCATACCTCTCATAACCACCTTAAGCTTCTTCTTCAGGTCGCCGATGGACGCTTTGTCCTCCCGATCGCTTTGGGTCCCGCCCTCACGATGGGTCGCTAGCACGATGGTGATTTTTGCTGATCCGGTCTTGGTATTTCTGGTTCTAGCCAGAGCATAGCCGAACGCAATCAGCAGATCTGTGAGCGTTAAGGTCTGTTTCCATTTGAAACAAATAGAAGGGATAGGATGCTACCAAAAGGCCAGAGATACCCGGTACCACGCCCACCACCCTTCCCAACAGACATTCATCGCGAGGCTGGCTGAAGCGAGAGTTGAGAGTGGCCGGCCTATGAACAAAACATGCTGCCCTTATCACTTGTGTTTGCTTGTATTCAGCTCTCTGCAAGGTAGGCAAGCCTCACGGAACGGTCTGGGCACGACAAGATGGAGTGGTAGAGGGTTAGTAGCTCTATACGTGGATAGAAGCATTTGGGAAGCGTGAGGCTAGTGATGCCAAAGCCAACCCTGAGCCAGACTGGGCCGCGACCCCCGAAGCGGGCCCCTCGGAAGGCTCGGCCAAGGGATTCATGGGTCGTCACACGTAACGACCTCGTCACTCTCTCTTGATATTGAGGCTACGTATGGGTCAATGTCATTTCTCAGGCACATACACTTGTATATTCTTGTGAGGTCACTTTGCTGCCCCATTGTTAGCTGGATTGACATCACCTTTTTCGTTCTCTGCTGCGCAGCTGATAATGGGGTCTGTCACACGTCGAGCCATACGAGAGCGAGGACGTTTGTATCGGATTGCCATCGGTCTCATATTTGTAGAGGTTGTTGACCCAACTCAGAGTGGATATCCAAGCCTGCCTTGTTGGCTTTTTTGGTCTTGCGAGAAACAACCCGCCGATATCCGTCCAATTCATATCTCATTGTTGTACCTGGCAGGTAGTTCTGGAGTCTAGGCCTGGGTTCCTTACCCCCCGTACTCCATATCCCTAGGAAAAAAGATATCCAGGTCCCTCCCTCCCTACCAATTATCCGATTGCGCAATGGCCGAACAGCCCCTCCCGCCAATAAACTCTCTCGCCTCCTTTTCATTGCTGACAATATGCGGACGTTGACCCGGGCCCGGTGGAAGACTGTCCAGATCCATCTGCAAGACGTCGCTGGGATCGAGCACCACGACGTTCTTCCCCTCGACGACTAACCGCTTGATACTCTCGTGGATGACGCGGCGGGCGACGCGGTTGAGCGAGAAGGCGTCTCTCAGAGAAATCACAATGGCGCACGCGTCCTGGTGCGCCCCGGAGCCGGGGTCCTTGGGGTCCGGGTCACCGAGTTCGCGCACGATGGCGCGCGTGAGACGCTCGGAGCCGGCGAAGCGGACGGCGCCGCGGAGGGCGAAGATGACCACGCGTCGGTCGCAGTTGGGGTGGTGGGGTTCCTCCTGGCCCGCGACGATCTTGGCCACCGACGTGCTCACGCTGGCGCGCGCGACTTGGCTGACGTCCATCATGTGGAAGCCCATGTCGCGGGATAATTGTTCAAAGAGCGCCACGGCGCGGACGCTGTTGCCTCGGTCGTTCAGTTTCGGTGAGAATGCGGCGATGCCGACCTGTCCCGGTAGGGCGCCGATGATGCCGCCGGCGACGCCGCTCTTGGCTGGGATGCCGACGCGGGACACCCAGTCACCCGCGGCGTCGTACATGCCGCATGTCGTCATGACGGAAAGCACCTGGCGGACACTGTCTGCGGGCATGATGGTTTCGCCCGTGACGGGGTTCACTCCGGCGTTGCAGAGGGTGGCCGCCATCATGGCCAAATCGCGGACGTTGACGTTGACGGAGCACTGGCGGATGTAGCCCTTGACGACCTCGGCGGGTTTGCACGAGATAATCCCGGCCGCCTTCAACATGTACCCGATGCCCATGTTGCGGTCGGCATCCTCAAGCTCGGCCTCGTACACCTCCTCGTCCACGTAAAGTTGTCGCCCCGCCAGCCTAGACAGAGTCTTGAGGATGCGGTCGACTCTCTCCTCCGCCGTGGCGTTGGGGTGGACCACGAGCGAATGCGCCGCAATAGCCCCGGCATTGATCATGGGGTTCATCGGTCGGTTGTTACCCTTGTGCAGCGATAATTTGTTGAAGGCATCACCGGACGGCTCGACGCCGATCCGCTCCAGCACATGTTCCAGCCCAGCGTCCTCGATTGCGATGGCGTAGACAAAGGCCTTTGAGATGGACTGGATCGAAAACTCGACTTGGTCGTCCCCGGCTGAGTAGACGTTGCCATCTACCATGACGAGTGCCACGGCGAGCTTGGACGTGTCTGCATTTGCCAGCGTCTTGATGTATTGAGCTGGGGCGCCATCGTCGTTCGGTCGGACCTTCTCCAACAAGATATTCAGGTAGTCCGGGATCGGTGACTTCATATCTATCGAGAAAACTCCTTTGCCGTGCTATGCTGTGCGGTATTGTGGCCTCTTGTTGAAGCACGTTGGAGGGAAAGAAATAGGGCGTGGTGTCCTTTGTAAGTTTTATTTGTCAACCAAATCCCCAAGTCCCCAAGAAGCGCCAATACTTTAGAGTTCCTTGGTGGTTGCTATACGTAAGCGCGCGTGCTGGGCAGTCGAGTTGGCAACTTGGATCTTCTTACTACACGTGGACAATAAGAAGATTGATGAAAAAGTGCAAGTAGAAGTCATGTTGGACAAGTGCCTTTTTCAGCTCCCAGCTGCGTTGAAATGAGAGCTGAAAGCCGCCCCGACACCACACCACGTGATGTCACATGACAAGTGAATAGATCTTTCACATACTTGTGCTTGTAGTCGGACAAGTCTTTGAAGTCGCACAGAGGGTGTACAGACAAGCCAGAAAATGAAATCGTGAATCGCCACATACTATCGCCTTTGTGACTTGGAGGGTCTGCCTGTAGTAGTTGGCACAGTCCTTAGCTAGGTGCCTAGCTGGGTGCCTAGCCTCTTTGGTTAGGTTATGTCAGCCTCCATTTACCACTTGCGGTATAGTTCCGGTGGGGACACATACAGTACAAGTAGTTATCCTCCTTTTGGTGTCTGAGTATGCCCTGCGGCTATCCCTCTGGCTCCAAGCAGCTTTCGATATTTGTTTCAGGCGAGCTGGGTCCCGTTCTTCATGAAAAGGTCCGAAGAATAACCCAGGGCCACAGCTTCAAGGCGCCAGTTCGCACAACCATAAGTTCACCTTGATACTCGGTAGGATCTCACACTACCTGTACGAGGATTGGTCAGAGTGTCGGCGTCCACATGCGGAGGGCGTACAGGGGCCAGGCCCAGCAAACATGTCGGTAGGAGTGAGAGGTTACCTCGTCAGAAGGACCACCGCCAACTACAGAATAGGTCAATCAATGCACTATAACTTGTCGGTTGTTCGTTTCTGGGGCACTACCCACTGGAATTTCATGCTAATACCCTCTGTACAGTCGCGTGACTGTGCTACATTGGAAGTGCTGGTTCTTGTCCTGCCGCGATTGAGCACCCGCATACTTCAGCACTGGTGTCGTGGATTATCATTACTGCAACGGGTCTTCTTTTTTTTTTTTTTTTTTTTTTTTCAATGGACTCGATTTTGGTTCGAGCGAGGCTCAATTCCCCCGAACTTGACACTCTCTTGTAGATATCTATATTTTTCGGGGAGTGGGAGAAATCTAATCTATGATTATCTTGTTTGCCTGCCGTTTGTGAATCTGGGGAAACCTAGTGTTTCACGTGGACCGAGGTTCCGGACTCTTTGCCAAAATAATCACGCACACGTGGGTTTTCCAACGAGGTGAAGCCAAGAGGCCGAGATGTCGAGATACCGGACTGCCGCATTGCTTTCCCCTGGTGGTGGGAAAGAAGTTTTTTTTCCCCCTGGTCACTGGGAAAGAGGGCAAAGGGTTGAAGACAGTCAAGTTCAATGGTGTGAGGGAAATGTGCATGTGCAGAGATGGAGATGAATGCTGTCCTCCCGAATCAGCTACTCAGCACATCCCAAAGACTCAGGGGCCCACAGGGGGACATGGCAAGTCCTTCTACACCTCGTTGATATTTACACATAGCACCAGCCAGCCTTGGTCCTTCCCTAGCCGGCATCCCGGGATCCCGACCTACGGTATAAGGATTTTGCAATGCTTTTTCGATCATTGTTGTTGGCGATGGTTGCTATTAGAGAGTGTTTTCAATCATGAGTGCACGGGAAAAGGAGACGGCGATCGTCACGGGCGGCGCCCGGGGTATCGGTTTGGCGATTGCGCGGAAACTCGCTTCGCGTGGGATCAATGTGCTCATTGCAGATGTCCGTGAGGAGCTCGGCAGGGAATCGGCGGAGCAAATCACAAAGGACTTTGGTGTCGAGGCCGTCTTCATCCGGGCGGACATGCGGAGCGAAGACGACATCAAGGCCATGGTCGACAAGGCCGTGAGTCTGTGGGGGAGGCTTGACTGGGCGGCCAACAACGCGGGAGTGGGCGAGGCCATGGACGACAACGAAGACCATGTCACGAGGGAAGGGTTTGACAGGTAAGTTCATGAGATGAGATGAGGCCTCCCTCGTGGCTATGTCTCACAGTTCCTTACCCATCTCGATGTGGCGCACACCACAGCGAGGGGGAAAGAGTCTATGGACAAAAAAAAAAAAAAGAGGGGGTGAGCTAACAGCTTTCTCTTTTCTTCCCATCTTTTCAGGCTGTACGAAATCTGCCAGCGAGGCGTCTGGCTCTGCCAAAAGTACGAGGCCGAACAGATGCGGAAACAAGAGCCCCGCGTCCCCGAGGGAAGCTACCTCAACGACAAGGCGTACCCCCAGCGCGGCGCCATCGTGAACACGGCCTCGATCTGCGGACGCATGACCAATGGGATGCCGGCCTACACGTCGGCCAAGCACGGCGTGCTGGGCATCACCCGGACGGGATGTCTGTTCTACGGCAAGCACGGCATCCGGGTCAACGCCCTCTCGCCCGGCGTGGTCATCACGCCCGAGTATCTCGACTGGAAGAAGGACTTTGTCGACGACGAGCGGTTTGCCGAGCAGGCCAGCGGCTATGCGAAGCGCTGCCCCATGAAACGGGCGAGCGATTGTGAGGAGCAGGCCAACGTGGCCAGTTTCCTCTTGAGCGGTGAGAGTAGCTTTGTCAACGGGGCCGATATCGTCTGTGACGGAGGTCTCACGGCCGTGTTTGACAGGTGATGATGGATGAGATTGATGGGGCTCGACCTGGAAAATTTGTGGGGAAAACTTGAGGCTATAGTCATATCATATTCCAATCGAGATATAGCCGTGAGGGGCCAAACGCAGAGCTTTGGTCTCTTAAGAGGGGCAATCGGTGGCCTGAACTAGCTTGCGATAGATGGACCAATCCGCCATGATCCTTCTTCATTTAATACTCAATCCATACATGCTGGCTTGACACTAGTCCTCCTTTTCATGAGCAAACATGTACTAGCCTGCTAGGCATGTATGGCGCGTCAGCTACAGCCAACCGACAATCGACCGGTGGACAAAACACTCCTGAATAAATCTCAATGCCCACGAGACCGTCACCGTCCGTGCCCTCAACCACTGCAGTTCGTGCTTGTCGAAGAACAGGTGGCAGAGCTCGTGCCCTTGACCCAGCGAAGAAGCCGACGTGGCGGCCAACACGTCGATGGCATCGGCATCTGCATCTTCGTCTCCCCCGCCTCGGCAGCGCATTTTGGGGGAATCCGTCGACACTGTCACGCTACTGGTTGACGCACGTCCTTTTTGCAGATCTTTGGTCAGCCGGTGAGGTAGCGAGCGTGCAAGAACATCGACGAGCCGAGTTACGAATTGTGCTCCGCTGAACCGACCCCGGAGGGTATGCAGGACCCGGAGAAGATTGGCGAGGCTCTGCATGTCCGTAGTACTGGCGGCTTGAAGGTCTCGCTGGTAGATGTTCACTAGTAAGAGGCAGATGGGCAATGGGAGCCAGGTCGCACTAGAGAAATAAGGCGGGCGTCAGTATGGGCGGCCTTTCTGCGTGTTGTGGTGGTGGTGGTGGTGGTGGTGGTGGTGGTGCTGCTGCTCTACTCAAATCTCGAGGGACTCTCTTCCACACTTACATGACCAAAGGAATGCGTTCCCTTCCCAATACCTTGATCAAGGCTGCCGCCGTCCTCGAAATCTCATGGGGAGCGGCCTCCGTCTCCAGAATCGCTGCGAGATCGAGCCCCTCGCAGAGTCCGCCCGTGGGAAGGCCGTCGTAGGAGTGGAGATGATGAATCTGGTATAGCTGAATGACCAGGGCACTAAGGGGAAGGAAGGGCCGTGTAAGAAGCCGTTTTTTGAGAAGCACGACGAAAAAGAAAACACCGAGCAGGGGGAGGGGGAGGGGGAGGGGGAGGGAAGGACAAATGCAAAACTCACTGCCGAAGGATATCGAGAACCTGAACGGTTACCATATTCCGTTCGCCCGCGCTGCTGTGGGCGACGAGACACTCTCGCCGACTCTCATCCCACCGGTGAATCGCCTCTCGGATCCGGAAAATGTCGTCTGAACTGAACGGATTTGTCGCGCGGTCTCGAAACGCGCAGAACCGGGCCACAATGTCGCTGAGCTGGCACGCCAGCGGAAATGACCTGCGAACCATCTCGACGTCCTCGACGTCGGTGTTTGGTGGGAAGGCGATCCTCGAGGCGATGGCTTTGACATGCGCGCCGTCATCGGCAACTGTATCGTCGGCGACGATATCGTCGAGGGGGGTGTGGAAGGCCAGAATTCGCTTCCTGATCAGGCAGCATTTCCACAGCAGGAGGATCCTCCTGGCGTCGTGGTGCTTGTCGGTCATTGATTCGCGCGCCGTCCGTGCCTTGCTCAGGGCCAGATCAGCCCAGTAGTGGTTGACCTCAGTCTCGGAGCTATAAGGGCCCCAGTGGCTCAGCAGCAAGCAGGTCTCGGCTTGGACAACAGGGTTTATGGTCTCGTCTTGATGGAAGTACCTCTATAAAATGTCCAAGTCAGCTGAGCGTCGACTGGATTGCAAGGGGTCCGATAACGCCTATAGAGATGGCCTTCTTTCACCTTACCCTGGCTTGGTCGAAGAGGACGCTCTGACCTTCGTGGATGGATGAAAATGGTGTGCTCTCGAGCTGGGACTCACTGAGATACTACATACAGATGCATCAGCGTCTCGGTGTACGACTGGGGGAGACATGACCGGGTTCCGGCCTTACGCCAAACGCCACGAAGATCATGGCGAGATGCCGCGCTTTGCGATCAGCTTTGTCGCTGTGCGGATTCTGGAGGGCTGGCTCATTGTCTCTAGCATCGAGGAATGGCCAATGCGGATGGAAATACTGAAAGTATAGGTCTCTGAGCACTTTCTCCAGCTCGCCGGCTTGGGACCAGTCTGGGAACAGCGTGGGTAGAAGCGTGGGGCCGTAATGCATGCATGGTACAGTGTTCTCGCCCTGTTCATCCATTTTTTGGTTGGGAGGTTCATAGCGAGGCCAGCAGGTTTCCTCTGGGGTATAGCCATCCAGGAGAGGAGAGCTCGTCAGCGGACGAATCGGTGCCATATTTCCCCAAAACCCAGATCAATCAAGGGTGGAGGCGTGCACTTACCGAGAGTCGCGGACGGAATGTCTTGTTCGTCCTGAGCAAAGGCCGTATCCCAGGCGGGCGACTCGGGAGCTAAATGATTTTCATTACAGACGAATAACTGCATCTCGTTGTCGAAGTCTTGCCCAGGGAGCTCGGTGCCCGGAAGGCCCTCACACAAGAAGGGATCAATGGAATGAGACTCCATGGATTGAACTGTCGCATACGCCGCTGGAACTACTATGGGTCTTTTGCTGCGTCTATGGAAGCCATGGTCTTGGGTCTTGAAACTGGCACTATAGAGACTCGGGAAACGCTGTTTCTGTCGATTTATGGGCTCTCTCCTAGACACACAAACCGAGAAGCCGGCGAGCCGTAGCCATCTCGTTTAGTAAAGAATCCTGATGTACTATGCCCTGTTCCTCGCGTTTTGACACCAACGTAGCTGGCGGGAAGACCAATGCGGAAAGATTTAGTGCCTCTTGACCCAGAGTCCGCTCTTTTCCTTGACTCGATCAAATTATGCATTGGCCTGGCACCTCTCGCTATTTATCCGTTCTACCAAGTATCCAAGCCGTTCCCTGGACCAGTTCTTCTATGGCCTGCTTCGCGGCCGGGAGGTCCGGGATCAGATGAAAGCCGTGGGGGACCATGTCGAACAGTTTGAACCGGACGGGCACCCTAGAGCGGGTGAAGAAAATGTACATAAAATCAGTGGACCATCCGTAATTTCCTGCATAATCGCAAAATTGGTGTCTCAGACGGATGGAACCTACCTGTTCGCTTCAAGGGCACTTCGCATCGCGATTCCTTGGTCACGGAGGGGGTCCCAGCCCGCACAGACAATGACTGTAAACGACATTTTTCCCGTTAGAAATCTCCCCCTTGTTGCAAGTATTCCCCCCCCCCCCCCCCCCCCCCAAAAACAATGGATGCTCA